GGGTCACTCCGGGTCGGATAAGTGTTGCAAATAAAACCAAAAGCTTAAGAACCAAACTGACAGATCTGGTGAAGCTATCACACAAATGCCTCGGTCACATGCTCGTTTAAAATTCACGCCCCATTGTTTTGTTGTTCGAAGACTCTGTCTAGGGCTTTCAATGGACAAGAAGCCTTTATCTTTATGGGCTTCCAGGAGACGCTGTTCCCAGATGTCTCGGATATTTATTTGCTTTATTTATATGCTTTGTTCTGCTTCTCTTACTCTTTCGAATCACGTGTAATGCTCCCTATTATAATCACACATGCTTTTCGATGACAGTTTTATGAATCATTTAAATTAATGTTTTACCTGAAACTACATTGTATGGCCGTGTATGATTTATTCATTCTACTCACATCCCCATTCACCCACATTCTCGACGTCTATGCCAGTTCTTGTTTAATTTTACTTTTTCACGGGTCGAGCTACAGCCACCAAAACTAAGACATAAGAGTGTAGGTCTATGCATTGAGACACACAGATGAGTAAACAACATCCTATTGATTGATTAGGCTGCGTACTGTGGTTGTTTTGTAGTTTTAGAAATGTGAAAGTTGTTGATGTGTAGATTGGTAAACAGTAGGGGACAAAGTGGCCGATGGAGCCTCCGGGTCGTACACATCCGGTCTGTGCCCATGTAGTCATACTCGTATGACATCCTGTGTCTGACTGAGATCTCCTAGCTTAGATCAGTTGTTTTGAGAACAAAGTGATGACCTCGTGCTTTTGTGAGACGGACTACAAGCACCACTCTCACATTATTTTGCTTATATCCGTTTATCGCTTAAACACAAACATCAGATTTGTTATTTACTTAGTTCCTGTTTTTTTTCTCCAGCTCGTTCTGAGGCTAGCGCGTGTGTTTGTCCCAGTCGCAACTTAATAGTGGTTGCCGGAGGTAATGCAAATGCTTCTCGTATGGATCGATCTGAAGCACTTGTGGAAGCACTGGATCCGCGATGTTCTGAATGGATGTATTTGCCTTCACCTAGCCCTGTTGCCGGAAGTCAACTGCGCGGTGCAGCGTTAGTTCCCAGCCCGTCGAGCACAGGTGAGATAGATAGACTGCATTTTCTCCATGTGTATAGTCTCAGTTCAATTTCCACAACCGATAATCTTCCATTGTCTATCTGTTTGGTTGATAAACGGTAGGGGGTAAACGTGACAACGCTGTCGAACAACAGAACAATAAAAGTACATCTATGCATCAATTGAGTACGTACACAAGCACCATTGTTTACTAAGTCGTGGCATGAGGGTATGGAAACCCTAAGCAGGAGTCTGGGGCACATAGGTCCCGTTAGGCTCCCTGGATGGGGACCTCTGGATGGTCGTACCCGATAGTTAGAGACACTGAGTGATATGGCTGGGTGTCGTAAAGAGTGGCGTTCGTGCATCTGCTCAATTTCTTTGCAACATTAGTACACTGAACTTTTCAATTTTCTCTTCGATCCTACTTTCAACCTTTTCTGTCTCTCTCGTAATGTTCACCCAAATAGGCAACCGATAGATGGCAACCAGAACCGGCGCACGACAGTGCATGGTTAATGATTGTATAAACTGAAACTGAAACTACCCTCTTAACATTGATTAAATTGATCACGAAGTCCCTTATCAGGAAGCATAACGCGATCTCAGTGTTCAGGTTCACCGATCACCGTATCCATACCCCCTTACCAGGTTTCATTCTGATCACTCATTACCTTCCTGGGCAAACATCGCAAGCCGAAGAATTCTATCTGACGGCCTTTATAACACCCCGACTATCGTTATCTATGAATTTTGTGTGCTCTTCCCACTGTGCAACCTAAAATTCTGCGTCGAACCTCATTGCTTGGTGCTTGGGATTGTCCCACCAGACCCGTGCGTGCAATCCGACGCAGGTCCTAGTGTTTGAATACCGGTTTTTCGTCTCTGATGTGCACCCGTAACCGCGAGTTCTGCACCGGACTCCAGATCCGGGTTACATAGAGCTGCGACTCAA